GTAATTATGTTTTCGATTCAATATATATGCTTTTTTAGTTTCGAAGTTCCCCTATTATTGTTTTTCATGGAAAATAAAATATGATATACACAAACTTATTATTTTAATATTACTTGATTTATAGTAAAATATGCTATACACAAACTTATTAGTATTTTATAACATTTATTGGGAGATGATAATTATTTTAAAACTGTGATGTTGATCTTATAATTGTTTGTCACACAAAAAAAAATCTTAAGATCTTTTTTTCATTTACAAGAGCCAGAGCCGTGCCTCTTTACAAAAAATTTAAACATTAGCTTAGGGCATCATATTTTGTTATAAGATCTAGGGGCATACTCACAAATATTTTTTTTTATATTACATAAAATTTGTTTTTTCCTTTTACAAATGCCTACCAAAAACCCAAAGTTAAAACTATTTCTTTTAAAACATTAACTATTTATTCTCATACTTCTTTAGTTTAACTTTAAATCTTATTTTTCACTAATTTATTATTTGTTAGTCAGATTTGTCCCATTTATTTTTGTTTATATTTTACATTTTTGTAATATAAAATACCATATTTCCTATATCATATTTTTTTATACATGCTTAAAAATTTGCATAAAAATTTGTATTGTATTTATTATAAATAAGTAAATATCAAATTGTATTTTTATTTTGCTTATGGCATTAAAAATTTTAGGCACGGGTCTGACAAGAGCCTTTTATTTAAGTTACCAACCTATGGTTTCACAAAACTTTCATATACATAATTGATAATACACTCGTTTAAAACAAAAAACAAAAAATTCATATAGGAGTAGTTCATAACACTCGTTTTTTTCCGTAAACATAAAAGAATGGTTCCTATCTTTCAAAGGAAAGAATAAAATGAAAGGTGGAAGAGGCATATGGCTCTCAGGTGGCTCCACTTTCGGCTCAACTATCATCATAACCTGTGATGGAAGCCAGCTGAGTGGAGTTGGATTGTTCCATTCACTGATTGCCACGTGTCAAATTACATTTTTGCTGATTCCATAGTATCAGCTAATTAACAAACGAAGAAATTGTTGATGATGCTATAATTTTCTAGTAGTTCTTTTCAATTTGTGCAATTTCTTAATCATTCTTAAATTTGTACCATGACTCTTTTTATTTATTTATTCAAGTTCATTGCCTATTTCTAATCGCACGTATGTCATTTGTAAGTACAAATCAACACTACAATTGTAATACGTTATAGATGTGGTCAGGAAATATTAACAGATAATCACTATATATTTGTAAAGTATACGGTACTGGTTAGTGCAAATTACATAAAATCCAGAAAGACCAATCACCAATGTAATTAAGCGCCTAACTTTGAAAATGCAAAAAAAGAAAAAGAAACAAAAACTGGCGCCGTTTCGAAAAACATAAACCGCTTCTCATTGGCTAATCCAAAAGCACGAGGATCGCTCCTTCTTTTATTCTGTACCGTCGATAAGAAAACAATCCAACGGACACAAATCTTATCAATTCGACCTATAAATAACACTTGATTACCCGAATCAAAACATTCACAACTCTCCAATCTCTCAAAACCTAAATCAAATTCTTCAATCTCTCAATTCGAATCAGTAAATCAGAATCGTGGCAATGGAAACTACCGGAAAAGTAAAGAAGGGTTTCGGAGGAAGAAAAGCCGGTGGTCCAAAAGCCAAATCGGTTTCGAAATCGATCAAAGCCGGTCTTCAATTTCCGGTTGGAAGAATCACACGTTTCCTCAAGAAAGGACGATACGCCCAGAGACTCGGCGGTGGAGCTCCGGTTTACATGGCCGCCGTTCTCGAATACCTCGCCGCCGAAGTAAGATTTTCTTCCGTTTCTATGTTTTTTCTCTCCAGATCTGGTTTATTTGGATTGATTTCTGATTCGAAAATGTTTGTTTTGATTCAGGTTTTGGAGCTTGCTGGTAATGCTGCGAGAGACAACAAGAAGACGAGGATAATTCCGAGGCATCTTCTTCTTGCGATTAGGAACGATGAAGAATTGGGGAAGCTTTTGAGTGGAGTTACAATCGCACACGGTGGTGTTTTACCAAACATTAACTCTGTTCTTCTACCTAAGAAGACTGCTAAATCGACTGAAGAAAAGGCAGCCAAATCGCCAGCCAAATCTCCCAAGAAAGCTTGATGTTTGTCTCTTTAAGTTACTTTCATTCACCGTTTTAAGTTTATGTGTTGGGTACTTTGTTGCTGGACTTGGTGAATGTGTATGTAGAAAAAACGTCGAGCTTTTTTATTAAATATGTAATTTTGGTTTGAATTTTATTCAGATCCAATTTTTATAAGTACAATTTTATAATCTATGCAATTGGTTCGACAAAACACTCTAATTTCATTCGTTGAATCAGTTTTAAATTATTGTACGCTTTATTTTTCCTTAAGCTGATCTCATTTCTGTTTCTCGAAGAAAAATATCAAAATGTTTCCCTCTCTATATGTTCGTCATGTTTATCTAGCAACTCCATTTCGATATCTAGCAACTCGAGGATCTGGTTCAAAGTTATTCGTCGGAGGTTTCTCTCAATGCTCTACTTTGTTTTATCCTGATTCATGTCTTTGAATAGTTTACAAATTCGCCTTTTTGTGTGTGTGCATCGTCTGATTAGTTTTAGACAATATGGATGCTTTAGAACACCAAAGTTAATTGCAGTTCTTGACGATGAGTGGAATTGCACTCTAAGTGTTTGATTAAATGCTTCAGAGAAACACTGAATGTGTAAAGAACATTGCAGGGCTTTGCTACGACACCAACGAGCCTGTTTTGAAGAATGAGTTTGAAAAGTATGGTGAAGTTGTCGAAGGTAATAATATCTCCATGATATCTATAAACTACAATTCCTCTATGGATAAACTAATGCAACTACTGATATTTTTTGTTGTGTGAAAGTTCAGTGAAAGTAATATGTGATCACATGAGCGGGAAATCAAAAGGTTATGGCTTTGTGCAATTTGATTCAGAAGAAGCAGCTGCAAGAGCCTTAGCTTCGATGAACAATCAGGTTTGTGCACAACCAATTCAGAAATTACATTTGAACAAGATATATATATTCTTGCTGATTCAATTGTTGCCCGTCTTTTGTTTAGTTACTCGAAGGAAGAAACATCAGAGTTGAATATGCTCAACCTAAAGAAGGTGTACATCATAATCACATGTGATTCTCGATTTCGCAACTAGAAACTTCACCGTTTAGAAATGTAACATTGTAGAACCCTAGAATGATTTTGGTGAAGAGTCGTAAGTAGTTTTGTAACGACTGTGTAACAATTAACTAAGAAAGGATATCGATAGATAAAATGAGTTTTTCAGTTCTCACTATGAATCTTGTATTATAACATACCACACACAAAAAGAGTCACAAATCTATTCCTGCGTTTCAAGATTGCGGTTTGTTAAATATTATGCTTCAGATAGACTGTTTTTGGTCTCAAATCCGCAGTGTTTGGAGGAATGTTCACTGGCCGTGGAGCCATGAAGTTGACAATCTTCCCATGAACATTATACCTGTTTCGATTATTCATGCAAAGATTTTAAGAAAGGGATAGTCAAATTGTGCTGTTGAATCCAAAAGAAAGAGATATGAGTTGTTATATTCACCTGATTTTTCGGCACTTCATGCTTCGGAATCAAATTGATTGGACATACGGTTCCCGTGGACTCTTCAAGAGAAAAACACTCATAATGCAGAATGTTAGCAAGGGGGCACTTGCCCACCATAAAACAAAAAAAAATAGGCTAATTTTCTTAGAGTTTTTAAATATGCCCCTGTTGATACATTGTTTTATGCTTCCTATTGGGTGTTTCTATGATGTTTGAACGCTTTTTATATAAAAAATATTTAGTAATTTTATAAATTTGTCCCCGATGAAAACAATTTCTAGATTCGCTACTGCTCATAGGACTGGACAATAGTTTGGTTTTTTGGAGCACGACGACAAAAACACTCTGCCAAGCTAAGGGCAAGATTAAGATATCAGAAAACCAAAGACTCTTTTACGGGAACCAGAACTAACACTCACGTCTCAACACAAGCAAAGACTTGTGTTGTTAGATGTAATAATCGCTAGGCATTTCATATCTAATGATGCCGAGATGTCTGTTTTACTATACCTGAAGAAGCTGGATCGATGGTCTCAAAGAACTTTAGTAATTTCTTCAGCATCCTCCACAAATTCGGGGTCTACTTCTAGTTGTTCCTCCTGAACAAAGAGTATACATGTCAGAGAATGGACATAAAAATGATAATCAAAGAAGATAGATAAAATGATATGATTCTCTTGAGTTGGTTAGAGAAAACCGCGACAATACCTCTTAGTTTGGTTCCATAGTTTCACCTGCAGGCACCTGTGGATTCGAGTTTAAAGATCAGAACAACTTGAAGAGAAGCTGATGTATTGACCACCAAGTTCAAGATCTTGGGATAGTTTTATTATTAAAGCAAACACTTACAGTTCCAAAAACAGCAACAGTAGATCTTGATTGTTGCATTTGTTTAATCATTCTACTTGGATCCCTCATGTAAGAAGCAACCTGCTCATTAACGTTCTAGTTTTCGAAAAATAACAAAACCACAACCCATAAGAATTATGATCGAAGGTTATGATACATGATAAATTGATGAGACTAAAAACACAAAAGTATTTAAGAAGAATTATATTAGACTCTCATAAGAATAAAGTTACAAGTTACATTGGTTTATATAGAGAAAGAATTATATCTAATTTCTTAAACTAAGACAAATATAAATGTAAATAATATATTTACCTAATGCATATTTCCTAAATTTAGATATTGACAAATCTTCTAGAATTTTATGGATCTTTCTGTAATCAGATCTTCATTATTTTCATAATCTTCGTTCGTCATCTCGACCTTTTGATCTTGGTCGATTTCGACCTCTCGATCTCCCAATATTATACGTTCGTACTCCGAGAAAACCGCAACTGTTGCACCAATAGGGTGCGACTGCAATATCTCCAAAGCAGCAGCCACATCATCACCCAGAAACTTGTATTGTGATATGCGAATCCCCCATATCTTCTCGAGTATGTCTTTTTCGCAGTTGAAAGTATCAGTATCGGATTCATCTGCTCGCGTGGTCTGACACCATACTTTGCTGCATATTCTAGCGCAGTTGACATCCGGTGAGTAAAACATTTGTGCTATTTACCTCAACGTCAGTCCCGCGTGACTGGATCTGCATGACAGCAGATCTCTTTCACACTAAGAGTTGTAAAATCAGTATCAATCTCTTGAATCACTCTAATAGAGCTGATGAGGTCCACGACCACATAGATCCAGCATATATGGTGATGTCCCTCGTGACGAACAAATCCTAACACAGTTTTTTTTCATTTTTTTTTTTCAGCAGCACCTTTAGAGTTTATGAATCATCTCCTTAGAAATCTGTGTACGGTCTCATGTTGCATGTTGCACCCGCTTAACTTGTACGATTTTTTACTGTACAGATTTTGGAAATAAAAAAACTAAAACTGACTTACGATTCTTTCCCTGGTTACGGACAGGTCCAAGTACCCTCCTTTCCTCCGTCTTTACTTGAGTAGGATCATTAGACTGTCTAATCCATTTCCTAGGAACCCGTGTACCTTCATTTTTGAAAGGGTTCTTAGCCTGTAAATACAAATAAGAAAACTGAAACATTTGTCAAAGAAAAAAATATTAACAAATCTACCTTTGTTTGCCACTTGAGAACTTGATTCTCATATGTCACAGAGTTCTCTTCATTATCATAACTGTCAAACCAGCAATAAAAAAAAGGCGCAGGATTTTGCTCTTCTTCGTCTTTGCACAGTCTAGATATACTTTTGCCAAAATGTGTTAACAAATCACTATGAGTCAGTCTCTGATCTTCACAGGCACGTACCCCGGTCTTCAAATCCTCCAATCTATTCTTCTTACGCTCTTTACACCCAAGTAATCTAAGAAACCATCGAGATATAGGATTTCCAACAGACTTTTGAACTAGCAGCTTCTTTCTCGAGCTGATCTATGATTTCTGAAAGACAAGATAGTGATAAAAGTGAGAGGAGAAAGAAAGACTGTGAGGTTAACAGTATCTAGTCAAAATATACTTTTCAGCAACATACTGATCAAGGGCGATTTCTCGTAGTGGCTTTCATGAGGCCTTAGTTTACCAACCTGAAACAATAACAAAAAGAGCTTAGATTTTAGAAACGGCAGAGATGGAAGAGCTAAGGCGGATACGAACTGAAGAAAATTCATTACCAGTGAGATGTCTCGGAAGTTGGGAAGAACATCTGTGACTGTGAGGTCTAGAGTATCGAGGTGGCGGGAGTTGATCGAATCCTTACAACTCCTGAGAGTAACTGCAATAACACAGGCCATTCATCAGTCAATAATGTATATTTCCTTTACATATAAACAAAGGCGGTGACAGATATCAATCCACCAGCGAACCGCAGAGATAACCAATACCCTCAACTTACATGCGTACTCCTCAATCACCGGACCATATCTACTGTTCCACAGATGCAGAACGTGAGTGTCTTCAAGTATTTCCTCTGCAGAACATCGTAGATACCTAGAGTCCAATCATATGAGGAAACTTTCATCAAAGTTAAGTGAGGATAAAGTTAAACGGAGTCATGGAATGTCAATATGACAAAGTCTTTAGCGCGTAGAACGCCGCCTCTGCCAAGCTAAGGGCAGTTTTAAATTATTGTACGCTTTATTTTTCCTTAGCTGACCTCATTTCTGTTTCTCGAAGAAGATATAAAATGTTTCCCTCTCGTTTTGTTCATCGTGTTTCATTATCTACTATCCCTTTACGATATCTAACAAGTTCAAAGTTGTTCGTCCGAGGTTTATCCCTCAATGCTCTACTTGGTTTTATCCTAATTCATGTCTTTGATTGGCTTACAAATTCGCCTTTTGTGTATCCTCTGATTAGCTTTAGACAATATGGATGCTTTAGAACACCAAAGTTAATTGCAGTTCTTGATGATGAGCGGAATTGCACTCTTAAGTGTTGGACTAAATGCTTCAGAGAAACACTGAATGTGTAAAGAACATTGCAGGGCGACACTAATGAGCCTGTTTTGAAGAATGTGTTTAAAAAATACGGTGAAGTCGTAGAAGGTAAGATCACCATGAAATATATTGCTCTTCTGCAAAATTCCTCTATGGATAAACAAATACCAATTACTTAAGTTTTTTTTTGGTTGGATGTGAAAGTGTAGTGAGAGTAATATGCGATCGGATGAGCGGGAAATCAAAAGGTTATGGCTTTGTGCAATTTGATTCCGAAGATGTAGCTGCAAGAGCCTTAGCTTCCATGAACAATCAGGTTTGTGCTCAACCAATTCAGAAAAGACATTTGAACAAAATATATATATATATTCTTGCTGATTCAATTGTTGCCTGTCTTTTTTGTTCAGTTACTCCAAGGAAGAAACATCAGAGTTTTGAATATGCTCAACCTAAAGGACGTTTACATCATAATCAAAAGTAATTCTCGATTTCTCAACGCAATCGAAACTTCAGTGAAGCACCGTTTAGAAATGTAAACATTGTAGAACCCTAGAATGATTTTGGTGAAGAGTCTTAAGTTGTTTTGTAATGACTGTGTTCTCTTCAAGCTTTATTAGTGGTCATATTTGTTGTTGGTGCTTCTACTTCCTTTGCAGGTTCTACAAATATCAACCTTCCATCAACAATCTGAAAACAAACAACCGAATGCAAAAACTCAGTCTAATATTCCACATCAAAGGCCAAAAAATAAAGACTGAGTTAAGAATTGGATCTTTACCTTCCCATTCAAAGCTTTCAAAGCCTTGTGTGCATCATCCTCAGACTTAAAAGTGATAAAGCCGAAACCTTTAGGTCTCTGTGTTTGCTGGTCCCTAATAAGACGAGCTAAAGAACACACTCGACACAACTAGTTCAGACGCATAATCAGAGCAGTGACACATTCAGATTTTGTGAAGGTACCTTCTGTAATCTGACCAAAAGGCGAAAACAGTTGCCTCAGAGATTGATCTGTGGTGTAAGCAGAGAGTCCTTCAAGAAAACAGATTGAAAACAAAAAAATAAACCTGAGATGCAGTTTAATTGACAAAATATCAGATTAATTTGAGATGAGAAATGATTTCTTTCATCATACTGCTGACGAAGAGCTGTGTTGTGATCCTCTTAGCCATCGAAAGTGCAGCACAGGAGCAAACGGCAGCGTTTTGGAATAGTCGACCGCCGTTGTTTCTCTCCGGCTATCTGGTTTTTTGTCTCGGCCGGAGGTTTTTACAAGCCCATTAAATAGGAGTGAAGATTCGGTTTACATTTGATTTTGGTTCAATTTCGATTTAAATCTTCAGGTTTGGTTTGGTTCGGTTTACCTTGATGCACAGAATGTGATGACTTTGCTACATGTTAGGAATTGAAAGGTAACGTTGTAAACGAGATTTTTAAAAAGGCCCAATTGTTATAATTTAAGCCCATTAAATAAAACCCGGATCCATTAACCGGTCTAACCAATAAAAAGCAAAAACCCTAATTCACTTTATGTATTTAGCTGTCTTGTTCAACTTTTTATTCATCGACGTTTAGCAGGAGAGCTTTGAGCGGCTGCAACTTCGAGTATTCAAAGGTTAGCAAAATAAAAACTCCAAAAACATTCAAACTCTAATTCCTGTTTGGTTTCTCTGATCTGATTTCGATCACGACGTGAAAATTTTGCGTTAAAAGATTCTCTTAGTCTGGACATTTGAGCTCGATTTTTGTTTCTTGTTGGTAATAGCGTATTGATAGTATTGGATCAAAATACAGTTAGATCTATTGGAGCTTTGCTTTACAACGATTGTCACCGATCTAATGCGGAAATCAAATTCGGAATCATTTGGTTATAAGCTGAAAATTGATTGTGCATTGGTTTTAGTTTTAGTATTTTGTGTGTTTATTTTGTTCTGTTGATGGGAAATACTCAAATTTTGTTGTTTGATTTTGGTTACAGATTTTTTGAGATTTGAAGAATGGTGAGAATCAGTGTGCTTAACGATGCCCTTAAGAGTATGTTCAATGCTGAGAAGAGAGGGAAGAGGCAAGTTATGATCAGGCCTTCTTCTAAAGTGATCATCAAGTTTCTTATCGTCATGCAAAAACACGGTATGTTCAATCTTTCATTGTTAGTCTTATTCATTTTTCTACGTCCTTTAATTGTAAACTGTGCTTGTTTCTGTTCTTACCTCAAGGCTAATGTTTTTCATGAATCTGCAGGTTACATCGGTGAGTTTGAGTACGTCGATGACCACAGGTCTGGCAAGATTGTGGTTGAGCTTAATGGAAGACTGAACAAATGTGGAGTCATCAGTCCTCGTTTCGATGTTGGAGTTAAGGAGATTGAAAGCTGGACCGCTCGTCTGCTGCCGTCCAGACAGGTCTGTCTTTAATCTTGTTCTCTATCCTCCTGATTACTGTGATCACATTACTTTCTGATTCATAGAATCTTAAAGAAGAGAACACATTCATTCTCTGAATTTGTCATACCATACATAGTGGATGAAAATCGGGTTTTTTGTCCTTGTGTTCTTCTTGGTGATGCTTTGTTTTCTTGTCAAGCGATCTTGTATCTTTAGTGATCTGACATTGTGACATGTTTTGAATTGTGTAGTTTGGATACATTGTTCTTACAACCTCTGCTGGTATTATGGACCATGAAGAAGCGAGGAGAAAGAATGTTGGAGGCAAGGTTCTTGGGTTCTTTTACTGAAGGCAATGTTATCAAGAGAAAACCGTCGTGACGGTTATACTTTGCTTTTGATGAGATGAGGAATTCGATTGAGCTCAAAGTTATGGTAGTAGAGTTTTTGATGCCTTCTTATGTTTGTTTTCTTTTTAGATAATTTGCCATTTTGTTTGTTTTGGGTTTTGCGCAAAGCTGGTGAAGACTTAACAAGTAGACAGTAATTTCCAATTTCTGTTTCCTTATTAAAAAAAAAAAAAACTTTCTTCAGCCAATTATCTATGGAGACATTTCAATTTCACTGCTTTAAACTTATGTTTCTTTATGTCTTGCACTTGATTTTATGAATGAGAGACATACATGTGTAGTGAAGATAGTAATTGAAAGGTCGATCTACATCAGGACCATAATATGTAAAATCTGCACAACATCCTCCCTGTTTCGATGGTTCAAGAATCATAATCAACGTTTCAAATCAGATCTCGTCAAGTTAATAAACCTTTGTTACATTACATTGTTGTAAAATCTATATCTTTATTGCTCATGCAAACCAAAAGTTCTTACATATACATATGAAACTTCACATCTAATATATTAATAAGAAAAATGCTGTGTCGTTTATTGTCAAGATCTTTCACAATTCCATACATTAGAGTATACCAAGCTCATTATTTCATGCATCAACCACAATCGTAATCCCTTGTAATATTTCTCTATATATATAATTAAATTATTATGTGTATGAGGATGATCTTCAAAACATGTTCAAGGACATTTTGGCTGGCCTTTGGAGTTCTTCATATCGCGGTAACAAGGACATTCATCTTTGTTCCCATAAGTGCCTGAAGGAACACAATAATTACATTTCTCGCAACATATATTGCAATACTTGAGACACCGATCTTGTCTTCCTGCCTTTGAACATCTCACGTTGCATTTTCCGTCGCATGGTGCTAATTTATTTATCATCCCAAATACGGGTCATCAAATCTATACAGCTAATATTCATATAAGATTTTGTCTACAAATAATTGAAATGAGTTATGTATACTTACACGAATCCGCGGTTGAGAGCATAAACAAAGAAGATGTGAGGAGTAGAGAGATAATGAAGAATTGTACAATCGTGAGTTTCATCTTCGTTCTTAGTGAGATTGAAATTTTCTAATTTGCTTGGACAAAGTTTGTTAGGGAAGATGAACAAAAACTCAAAAGTTTGCACACAATGCAAACGAAGTGATGGTTTGGGGTGGAGGAAAAGGAGGCTATAAAAAGGAGTTATTTATAGTGAAAAACCTTGGAGTAGTAATTATTTTCATTTTTTATCAAACAAAAAAAAGCCCTTGGAGTATGTGTAACGTTTGGTATATATTTGTCTATTTTAAAAATAACTTCAATTATAGTCTTGTGTTAAAATGCGAAATCAAATCATATGTATCAAATACTTTATTTCATTAGTATTTCAAATATTTTTATTTACGAAATTATTATAAGTCATATACTTTAGTATATATATAATAATCATATTAATGAAACAGAAATTATGTTATTAGCTTCTATCAAATCCGTTTTAATTAGAAAGACAATAAATTTGATTTGCGAATCTATTAAATTCACTGTTTGCGTGCCGTTGTGTAATTGTTACATATCACTGTCGTTAATTAGTATATATATATACATCGAATGATTATTAATTTATTATTTTTGTTAATGAGAAATACGAAGGCACAATGTCGTTCACGTTGAGCGACCATCGCGTTAAAGCTAAATAAGAGTGACACACGTTATGGGAACCTAAAGGCATGGGAACATTCTACAGCTTTCTTCCTTTTTTCAATTTCTTATATTTCAAATAATAACATTTAATATATTCAATTTATAAATTGAAACCCATAGAATTCGTTCTATAACGTTTTATAACGTTCTATTTCTATAACGTTATAAATAGATGATCTATGTCTATATTTTCAATTAATTAAACTACCGAAAAGCATGTTGAACTTAAGGATTTTCAAAAGAAAAAAAAAAAACTAAAGGATTTTCGGTTAAAAAATCGGTGGATCAATTTTTTTTTATGGACATGTTATCTTTGGAAATAATAGGACGGTTTAAATCGGCTGAGATTAAACCACGTTCTAGTCATAGACCTTAATCCGATGCTGGGATGGATTATCCAAAGTTATTAAGAAAATAAAGTCATGTTCTGCTTTTTTCTATTAACTTTTGTGAGACTAATTTTCTTTCATTGAAAATTAGATTTAATACATGGTATCACATTAAAAACAAATTTGAAAATAGCATTTCTTTTTGAAACCAAAAATAAAAACATTAAATAATTTACAAGTCATGTGGTCGATACTATTTGTGGCCAATCGATCCACTACTTCAATACGGATCAACTAAATAGATAGAACAGCTAATCCACTTTAACACTTTTAATTAAGTGTTGTTTTGTCACTACCTAAATTGAATTTATGGTATAAAAAGTTAAAGTAGATCTCGTCTCTAGAATCTTGTTCAAAAGGCAGACAAATGGATAATCTCACATCATATGTGGATAATCTAACAAAACGCTGAGTTTTGTGTGCATACTTATTGAAAATAACTCGGGAACAATATATTAACATAACTAAATACTATGAACCGTCAAAATCTAAATATGAAGTGAAGTTTGTGAAGCCTAAGACAAGACGTTCACACATGTGTTAACATATTTTTTTTTGTTTCGATCTTGACATTTTTGTTTTTTGTATCATATTAAATTGCATATGCTTTTAACTGAAAATATTGAATGAATTGATGTTCTTCACATATTTCTCGAAATGATGATTTTGGACCATCTCAAACTATAACTCTTCTAGGATCGGTAATTGACAATGCATGTATATTACAAATTTAATTTAGAGAAAATGGTAGATAAATAATGTTTTGATTTTTACTAAATTCTTTGTAAGTTCAACATTTTTTAAAAATTCATCAAGTCATTGTAATTCTAGAGATCTTTGTGGTGTAATTTGTTGGCAATTAGTAGCTTATAAGCATATCTTTACCTCACCCAAGTTGCCTCCTCTCTCATTATCTATACTACTTGTGACGTTTTTGTGAATCCTGCACAAATTGTCGAATTGTTATCAGTATCACCATTTATGCCACGTGTGTGTTTCTGGTTGATTCATCAAATAGCAAAACAGGCCCATAAGGAGGCAGAAAAGAATGGCCCATAAGGCTTCATGCTTTGTGGGCCCCCGCGTCTCTTTCTCCCTCTCTCTTTCACTTCGCGGTTTCAGGCGCGCTAACTTACGCTTGAGGTAATATATCGTGCACGCGAAGAAGAAGGCGTATTATAAAAGAAGCCAGTAGAAAACAATAGAGAAGAAGTTAAATCAGGACAGGCGCATTTTAGCCGTCCGCCATTTCCATCGCTCCTCTCTTCTCTGCATCATTTGATCTGGTACGCATTCGTCGTGTTCTTCTCCATTCGTCACCATTATTCCTTTTTGGTTTTGAGTATTCTTTTTCGTCGTCTTCGATTGAAACAAAGCTATTTGGATTTGACCTCTCTGAGTTTTTTTCCCATCTTAGATTCGATGGCTGCTCCACCTGCTAGGGCTAGAGCCGATTACGATTATCTCATCAAGCTTCTCTTGATCGGTGATAGCGGTACGTCCCTCTTGATTTTTTTTTCTCAGGATCCAAAGCGATGTAATCGATGATTTGAATACACCAAATCCAATTTCATGTTTCGATTACTCTGTCAAAAACCGATCTAGTCTCGATTCCTGTTCGTGTTTTGATTTTGAAGACCATTTTTACTAGTTTCAAATTTTTGAACAATGTGTGTTTAGATCTCTGTAACTTAGGGAGTCACACGATTTCTTGTTGCAGGTGTGGGTAAAAGTTGTTTGCTTTTACGATTCTCTGATGGTTCCTTCACCACTAGCTTCATCACCACAATTGGGTTTGTATTACTTTTCTCATGTGTAGAGATTAGAGACTGTGAATGTATGTGTCCCTCTTTGTTAGATGTCTCACTGAGTCTTTTCGATTTGGGTTTTTTTTTATGCAGCATTGATTTCAAGATAAGAACTATTGAGCTTGATGGCAAACGCATCAAACTCCAGATTTGGGATACCGCTGGTCAAGAACGTTTTCGAACCATCACCACTGGTGAGTGAGACCTCTTTTCAGATGAGCTGCTTGCTCTCATAGTGTAGTCACCATGCATTTTCCCACTGTTTGATGCTATGATCTCTCGTGAACAAGCCGAATGATATATTTCTGGTTTGCTTAGTCTGCTAAACGTAATGGCTGATGCTTTTTGCTTTGGGGATACAAATCGATAAGCCTCTTTTGTTGCAACAGTAGTTTGCAGAATTTTGTGTTCACTTCCTCTTTTCCTTTACACTTTTGCAGCTTATTACCGAGGGGCAATGGGGATTTTGCTGGTGTATGATGTCACAGACGAGTCATCCTTCAACAGTAAATTTTCTTCTGTCTCTACACATGACATCTTTGGTCCTATATTTCTGCTTTGTTCTGGACCTGTTCTCTTGCCTTCTTTGCAGACATTAGAAACTGGATTCGTAACATCGAACAACACGCTTCAGATAATGTCAACAAAATCTTGGTAGGGAACAAAGCCGACATGGACGAGAGCAAGAGGGTACAATACGTGCTACTT